TATCTATCATCCTATATGGCAGTGTGTACCGGACAATTTTCTCAAAGATGAAGAAGAGATTTGAAGCAACAGAAATGTGTTTCTATAGAAAAATGCATTGACTGAACATGGAAGCAACGACGTGGTTTTAAATAAAATGCTTAACAGAGAGCAGTATACGTTAACACACTCACATGAACGCACACACGCAAATATAACTTTTATTGACTGGAAATGGAAACGGTGTTTATATATCAAAGTACAATTTGGGTTAAGATGTATGCTTACCGATGAGAAACACGATCTCAGGGCAGGAGGCGATGTTTTAAACCTGGGTCACTTGTAAACAATGGGGATGATCGAGATAATTGGTTTTGTTTAACAGTATTTGTTTTGATTAAAAGCTTGAATCAATGTTTAGATACCCCAAAGTATAATTTTGGCGAAACGAGAACTCGTGATTGAGATAAGGTAAATAATTGGAGAATCGGTTTACATGTCAAGACGTCAATGGACAGTTTTTGGCACTCGTGGTAGCTGCGTGCCGGGCCGAAGGTCAATTGTGATCAGTTGATCCTTTTTCTATATTAACTCAAGATTTTGCTAATAAAGAAGTGTCGGGGAAAGAGACTGTAGTCGAGAGAGTCACGAGACTACCGCCGCAGTGAGTCGAGAGATTTGCGGGAGAATTTTGTAGGAGAGAAAGAAGAGTGCCCCCTGTTCTGAGAAATCTGTATGAGACTGGACTATCAGTCATAAACCTACCCCAGGCGATTCAATACGTGTTTACCACTCACAAACCCGCTCCCTGTTGGGAATTCGCTGGATGCATTTTGTCTTTTTCTTTTCTCATTTATGTTGAATGTTTTTATTCTCCCTGTAACCTCTGTTCTGATGTTATCTTCTTATATAAAAGACGTCAATATCTCCCCCATTGTTGTCTGGCTTCTGCGGATATTATTTCTTGTTTTATTTTGCCACATTCTAAAACTTCCTAGCGCCAACTCTCACAGCCGTGTCCACATCCCCAGTCGACCGTGAACGTATGGACAACACCCCGCTTAGTGGATCTAAAAACTAACACAGCGTGGACAGCGAGCAGGACTTGACCAGTTGACCGGTCGAAATAATCTACGGGTACTCAGGGAGCGTACGGCCAGTTACCTCTAAGTTCGGTTCGGACCGAGTGGACACCTCAACACAAAGAGGGAGACGCTGGAGGTTGAGGGGCTGGGGACGAAGTGGTAGAAATGGAAAAAAGGAAACTTATGCTTAACATCAGGAAGAAGTAGTTGAAAGTTCTAGGCGTGTAATGAAGAAGGAGAATTTGAAAAAAAAACTGATACTCACAGGACAGATTGAGGGAGAGAGAAAACTTGAGGTCTTGAGTAAATAGAAGGTTGAACAGAGTTTGGGAGAAATAGCAACATTTTAAAATTCACTAAGAGCTGCAAGGGACAGGAAGTGGGGGGGGGATGATCGCCTAAATCCTTCACATAAAGAAGAAGAGAACACTGCCTCAAAAACCACAGCACGGCGAGCCATACGCAACTTCCGGAACAAAATGCGACAAGGGAAGAATCTCCGGCGATAACAAAGTAAGTCAAACCAAAAGCGGACTGCTGACAGCTGGTTTTCCCACCCCTTTTATCGACACGAGACAGTTGACAAAGACGCGGATCTGGTTACGTTGTAGAGAGGCTCGTATCTGAACATGCCAAAATGTTCTGCTGCTAACAGATATAATTCGATTGTGACTGACTAAATTCAACCGACATGTCTGCTCGTGACTGTGGGTCACTTTTACATTTGTAGCGATACTCACCCGCCAAGGGAGTACCAACCATTCATCGTGACTGGTGAGAATTCAGGATCAGCTTGGTGATGATGAAAAGTTACTGTTTGAGTTACTGAAGGTTACAAATGAGTTTTTCTCCATCGGAGTGTTGGAGCTAAGTCAAAGAAGAGACCGCTTGCCAGGATCTGGTCATGTAGATTTTTGTGGGGTACACTCATAAACTGTGGTATCATCTGCATAGATATTTACTAACGATCTAAGAAGCTTTCTGATTATATCGTTAATTTACAGCAGAACGTAGGTGGGACCGATGAGTAAGGAAGAGTGTTTAGCAAAAGTTCATCAAAAGAGTCCCGGCGGTTTGTGTTGTTCTATGATCTTCAGTCTTTGAAACATTACTTAACACTAATGTAATCACTAGATTCTGACATGATGAGCAACAGTTTTCTCTTGTAAAGCAACTGGAAAAAAAACTAAGTTAGATACGTGAATGGTGGTGACATTTTCATGTCTCACGATTTTAATGAACCGCTTTTTCATCTAAGATTCCCTGAGTAAAAGTAATAAAAATGACTACAAAAGTGGATTGTTTACAACAATTTGGAGCGAAAACGGTTCTGGAGGAAACAAACTGAGACACAGTTAATCACTCCAAAAGCAGGTATGTGTCCAAAGGTCAATCCGTGCTGGTAGGATTGCAAAAGCATTGTGCATTACGAACACTTTCTGCAAAATTTATCGTTGGATTCAGGCAAGTACTGTTCCCAAATGGACTGACTAAAGACAGCAATCGATAAAAAAAACAAGAGAATTGGTCAGTCGAATGAGTGTCGTCTTCCATCAGAACAACAACAGACCTCATTTTTTGTAGACCCGGAAGAAGTTGGTCCAGCTTGGTTAGAATGCCCTACACCACCTGTCGTGCTCGCCTGACCGTGCACCTTCGGTTTACCTCTTATTTTGATCCCCACAAAATTCAAATTCTATGGAAGCCTGTAAAAACTACTAAAACCAGTTCATCATTCAGAAAAAAAAATCACGTTCTAGGGAGATAGAATGATGAGAGAAAACACGAAAGTGACGAAATGGAACAAAACGGCACATATGTCAGTGAATAAGTCTATGTACAAATATCTAAATATTGTCGTTGAAATTAACTCAAAAATGCGACGAAATTTTGTTCCGAGTCAATATATGAAGATTGGATTGTGCACCAACTGAAATGTAATGATCGAAACAATTAAGATATGATATTACTCTGAGCAATTACCGTAATCCTTTATGTATAGATTGTTAGGGATTATAAGACGAAGTTTAAAAAAAAACAAAAAAAAAACAGAGAAATTTCGGGGGGGGGGCTTGTTTTCATATATAAAACGCACTTGATTTTAGGGCAAAAAAATGACCAAAACTTGTGAGAAAGGAAGAGAAAACAATGGGCATAACATAATCCTTTGTGTATAGGGAGTATAACACGCAGTTAAATAAAAAATACGAGAAATTTCAGGGAAAAATGTTTATTTCCGTGTATAAAACGCACTTGATGTTGCAGCAAAGAAAATGACCAAGAGAAAAAATGAAAACAAAAGGGAGATTTTATTTAGTTTTTTTTTTTTTTTTTTTTTTTTTGTAAACATTACGAAGACGTGATAATGACTTTTGGGCAGATGACCACCAAATCTGCAATACACATTAAGAAAATAAACCGAAATAAAACTGAATAAATATTAAATTGTTTGTTTACACTATTTATATTCGGAGAATTGTCATCATCTTTGTTGTTTTGATAACAACGTTTCAGCCATTGTGTTCTCCGGCCCTCCAAATGTGTATAGAGATCTGGGTAATCTACAGTGAATTCCAAACTGAACCCTTTATTTAATCTATGAGGCCAGACTGTTCTCGTTACATTACTCATGTCTAGGGATATAGTGTAGTTTTTATTTTTATTTAATACAGTTCAGTTATTGCTCGACCGTTTCCACTGGGTACAAGTGCACACTGCCCGAGACAGGGACTGAACTTCCAACCAGTATGTAACCAAATTCACAAGCCAACGCTTTTACCCACTAGATAAAAAAAAAAAAAAAGACAAAAATTAACTTTCTTGTTTGTTTAGTTTTAATTCTTTGTGACAATCGGAGGTATTTCTCACGAAATAATTTTATAATTGCTGAAAATGACTATTTTTAAAGAATACCGATCGTCTTTCTATGCTCATGAGTATCCGAGAGTATCATGAGTATCTGAGCGGGAAGATCGACTTCATAGAAACCTTGAAACTCCGATTTTATCCGTTTTGAGTCCCGTAAAAAATAGATTGCATTCTATACTGAATTACAATACTCAGCAAACATTTGGACACGATTTTGAATGAAAGAAGAAAAACTACCTCTTATACACACAGGATTACGGCAATTGTTATTTTAAAACTGTTACACGAAGCATTTCACTGTTACTAATTTATTGCTAGAACCATTCTATTCAAGATTATCGTTTCTTTTCATCGCAACACTAATCAGCAACTACACATGAATTAAACTGAAATATTTGTGAAATAATATTGTAAACAAATTTTTCTCATACATGTTTCAGGGGCCGACTAAAGCATATCTTTGAAAAATTTTAAAATCTAAATAAATACAATGGCCTCGAGATATAAATCCGTAGAATGTAGAATCTCACGGCGATAACATTACCTGTTGATACTGAGAATTATATCAAATGGTATAAACAAATATGTGGAACAAATTCCTGTCAGCCCGAATATATAAGAAATGCAAAAAAAAAAAAAATCATATCTAGCGTAGATTTTTCTCCATGCAGTGACCACAGTTAAATACTTCTCTCTCTCTCTCTCTGGTTGCATGGCACCTCATCTGTTTGCATCTTCTAATGCAAAAATCTTGTCTCTTTAAGTCAGTTTGACCATTGGGTGTAACTCGTACAACACAAATATAAACGGCACCAACAAAGACAACAGTAATAATAATAATAATAATAATAATAATGACGCCTTATAACAGACTGAAAGAATATTCAGACACCGATTAGTCCTAGGCAGTAAAAAAAAAGTTTTAGAAGAGCAGAAAGTATATGTTACCGATCAGTAAGGAAAATTGTTTAGAAAAAGTTCATCAAAAGTGTCCTGAATGACTATAGTGTTGTCCTTTGGTCAAGCATCAAGTCTTGATCGAAATAGTTAAATCAACGTCCATTCGAGATGAACTCACGTAAAGAGGGATGTGAGTTCAAATTTTATCAGAAACGATGTCTTTATTACGAGACGACTGGAATGAAATAACAACAATAAGATGGGGTTAAAATAGTAATAAATATTAGTAATAATGAAGATTGGATAGACCCAGAGAGTTGTGATAAAAAGCAACAATAACAAGACGGATTATAACGATCTGTGTTAATACACTCTTCATTATTACTATTATTTTATTACAAGTTTTACTCGAGAGTCATTATAAAAAGCAATAATAATAAGATGGAGTGAAACTAGTAATAAAATAATAGTAATGATAAAGAGTGTATAGACTCGGAGAGTCGTGATAAAAAGCAACAATGACAAGATGGCGTAAAACTAGTAATAAAATAATAGTAATAATAATGAGGGTATAGAACAATAGAGTCGCGATAAAAAGCAACAATGACAAGATGGAGTAAAACTAATAAAATAATAGTAATAATAATGAGGGTATAGAACAATAGAGTCGATAAAAAGCAACAATGACAAGATGGCGTAAAACTAGTAATAAAATAATAGTAATAATAATGAGGGTATAGAACAATAGAGTCGCGATAAAAAGCAACAATGACAAGATGGAGTAAAACTAGTAATAAAATAATAGTAATAATAATGAGGGTATAGAACAATAGAGTCGCGATAAAAAGCAACAATGACAAGATTGAGTAAAACTAGTAGTAAAATAATAGTAATAATAATGAGGGTATAGAACAATAGAGTCGCGATAAAAAGCAACAATGACAAGATGGAGTAAAACTAGTAATAAAATAATAGTAATAATAATGAGGGTATAGAACAATAGAGTCGCGATAAAAAGCAACAATGACAAGATGGAGTAAAACTAGTAATAAAATAATAGTAATAATAATGAGGGTATAGAACAATAGAGTCGCGATAAAAAAGCAACAATGACAAGATGGAGAAAACTAGTAATAAAATAATAGTAATAATGACAAGAACAATAGAGTCGCGATAAAAAGCAACAATGACAAGATTGAGTAAAACTAGTAGTAAAATAATAATAATAATAATGTAGAGTGAAGATATTAATGAAGAAATGAAACTTCAAGAAATTGGCATGAACAACCCAAACCCGGTTACTGAGATAAGACCTGTAAAAATTTTTTAGGACTTTATAATACACACAGTCGGAACAATCAAAAGTAATCGCCCAGACATCGTGATTAGAGACCACAAAGTCAAAATGTGCCTTTTTTTTTGACATGGCAGTCCCTGCAGACTGCAATCTATCTTAAAAAGATCTTTAAAAAATTATCAAAACGACCTTGAAATTTTAATCTAAAAAATGTGGTACATGAGGATATCAGTAATTCCAGTTGTAGTTAGAGCCCTCGGATTGATTGCAAAAGATTCCAATAGACTCATTGAAGTGATTATTGGTAGCGCATGCCTTAAAGAAATACAAAAAAAATTGTTCTCAGAATACAGTCCACATCTTACGAAGTACTTTATCTATGTAAAATATGTGCATTTTTTTCGAAACTGCTCAGTGGAAAATGTCATGATGCCATTTCTGATTTTAGGTTGGGATTCGGAAAAATGAGTATACACCAGAAATCACGGAAAATAAAAATGATAATAATAATAATAATGTTGAATAGGTTATTTAGACAAATGTTTCAGATAAAAGACAACAATAAGAAAAGTGAACCTGGAAGCAACAGTAATTAACAGGTTTTTCCAAGCTACCTACCGATCATAGGCCTTGCTGCCGGATGTAGTTTATCGTCATACCCAGGACGGAAGAAAAGTGGTCTAATGGTGACAAAAGTATTACTATTAATAATAGTACTACTACTATTATTAATAGTATAATGTTTAATCATTGAATCGTTTCATCATTAGAAACTAGTCCTCAACAGTAGAGCAATGTTGCATTAAATTGTATTTATATTTGTTTTAAATTTTACTCTTATTCTGACGTGGATAATTAACTGTAATTTATAGAGAATTTAGGCTTAAGGGATATCCAAGTCATTAAACTGCATAATTCAATTGCTCCACAACTTTTTGATAACGTCTGCAGTTTTCCCGCCATTTTTAATCGCTCTTTAATGTGAGATTCCACATCATTTGATTATTGAGCAGCCCTTCCTGAATTTTTTTATTATTTTCTTTCATATATTTGTTGTTTTAAGCGTTATCCATTTTTTTTCAATCTCTGAATAATTTATTTATATTTGTATGTTTTCTTTTTTCTATTTTTACTTTCACTTTCATTATTTATTTTAGTTTTCAGTTTTTTGTTTGCTACTTTCTCTGTCAGATTTTCAGTACGTTGATCCGTTCTCCATTTTTTTTCTTTGATAAGCTCGACCATTTTAAACTGTCAACTAGTAATTTGCCAATTTCTACGAACTGTTTAACTATCTATATCTCAAGTGTTTGCCAAAGTTCCCAGCTGTTTTTCTTGACACCCAAAGTCTGAATACGCGAAAAGTTTACTTATATCTATACCTGTCTGTTCGTATCTATCTATCTATCTATCTATCTATCTATCTGCGTTTATAACACTCTTCTTCTTGTTTTACTTGTTACCGTTCTTCTTAACATTGTTTCTTTGTGTATCTCTTTCGTTCTTTCTATTTTGTCTTCTTTCTTTTCTTTCTTTCTTTCTTTCTTTCTTTCTTATTGGTTGATATCCTTTTTATGTTCTTTTTCATTCGTCCTTTCTTTTTCATCATTCTTCTTAACCCTCTTTCTCTATACATTTCTTTTTAGTCATTCTTCCCTTCCTTCTGTCTTTTGCATTTCTTTCTTTCTTTCTTTCTTTCTTTCTTTCTTTTTCTTCCCTTATTCTTTCTTATTGGCCTCTCTCTTCCTTTCTCTCTTTTTCCTTTTCTTCTTCTTTTTTATTTCCTGTATTCTTTTTATTTTTATCTTTTCACTGTGTTCTCATAATCCTTCTTTTTCTGCACATGTCTTTCTTCTTTCTTTCTTTCTTTCTTTCTTTCTTTCTTTCTTTCTTGTTCTTCGCTTATTCTTTCTTATTGGCCTCTCTCTTCATTTCTCTCTTTTTCCTTTTCTTCTTCTTTTTTATTTCTTGTATTCTTTTTCTTTCTACCTTTTCACCGTATTCTCATAACACTTCTCCCTCTGCGCATGTTGTTTCTTTCTTTCTTTCTTTCTTTCTTTCTTTCTTTCTTTCTTCTTTCTTTCTTTCTTTCTTTCTTATATTCACGTTTCTCCTGCTCCATTTTCCCGTTACTGACTCTTATATATAACCCTTCTTTTCTTCTATTGGCAATCATAAACTTCATCCTATCGTAATTTAAGAAACAACTAGGTTAAAGATAAACACTCTATACTGTACTGATGAAACTTAAAAACCATATCAATATTTATTAAGTTACTATGACGAACGCCCGAATTTACTCTTATATTCAAGATTGGCGCATCCACTTCGGTGCTATCAAACGTCCTTCACGCGCATGCGCGCTCGCCTACGGCTGTATGCCGTTGTATACATCACTTCCCGATTGCCGTATCTATCAAAACTCTGACAATATTCTTGTGAATTGAATGCTTGCAGCAATTGCGAGCAGAAATGCATACATTAATCAGATTTAATTATTTTCTGTTCTAATTATTATCTTCCCTTGTTATTGTTATTAAATTTATTACTTTTAAAGCTGTAGTTGATTTCACTAGACATCAAGTGACAGCAAGTTTCTTTAATTCTCCAGGACTCTCCCCAGTATTTTGTTGATTTCATAATTGTTTCCGTATATTTCGATTCTATGTCTGATTTATATTTCCTGTAAACTCTCTGCAAAGCGTATCGGGATCAATGTGTTCCAAACCAAGCGTATCAAAATTATTTTTTCTTTTAGAATTCACATGTTACAAGGCTCAAGAACAACTCAAGGTAGAATTTTACTGTTAATATGGTAATGATGACTGTGGCGTGGGATATGTATGAAAGACAATCTAGTAGGAAGCGAACATTATGAGGATAAGGGTATAGATAAACATTGACTCTTGGTTTGAAGACGTTAAGAAAAGAAGTACCCACATGGGAGTATGTTCTACAAAGTGAATGTTACTGAGGAAAAGTTAAGTAGAACTTTTCTTCTTACTTTTAGAATACGGATTACCATAGAATGTTCTAGCTATAAAAGTTTGAACTGGTGGAAATAAAGAGTAGAGCTCATCTGAACATTTGCCTCGGAGATAGAGCTTTGATGAATCGGTAGAATAAGTATTCCTCACCCGAACAAGACGATCTTGAAGGCTTGGAATTGAAGATTGTGTAGCTCATATATGGCAGCAATACGCCATTTCTGGTCTAATCTGACTCTTTTAAAGATAAAGCCTGGTAGGAGTTAGGCACTTCCTGGAGTAGTAGAATGATCGTATATATGAGTTCCACCTGATGTCTGGGGTGAACTTGAGTCTCAGGAGACGTTCAAAGCAAGAAACCTCATTGAGTACAATCGTTTCTCATGTGGTAAATTCAGTTTACCATGGAAACAGCGATAGAGTTGTGATAGGCTTATAACGCCTGCAGGAAAGAGCATGCAGAATAGAGAATATGACTTCCCCCCAACAAGACCGCTTAAATGATTTTGGGCTCTACTAAGACTGAAAAGTGAGGATTGTGCAGCTCCCTGCCAGATATGGCAGCAACAAGCCATTTTTGGTCTAATCTGATTCTTGCACACATAAAAAGTTACAGAAAGAGGTAAATACTTCCTGGGGCGGTAATATAAACCAACTGTTTTTTTTTTTTTTGTTGTTTTTTTTTTTTCAAGTATCTTTAGCAACGGATTATCCTCACAAGTTGAACTCAAAATCTGGAATTAACTTGAGACCCAATAACCGGTCAAAGGCCGGTTACAGAATATTTTCATTTATTCTGCAAGTTTTAGATCTTTTTTTTTTTTAATGTTTCACCCCAAACAAAGCGCCAATAACCGTGGAATTCATGGCGTTATGTGGTGTGAAAGTGAAAGAGAATAGAATATAGAAAATAAGGAGGATGAGTTACGGATGAAAATCGGACAGGGTTAAAAAAAAAAAAAAAAGACAGAAGATGGCAACTGACGGTACATTTAACATCCTGAATTTTCTAGTTGTCAAAGAAGTAATCGGAGGGGAGTTCCACAGTGCAATAAAAAATCTGTTGGAGTAAAAGTGGTGGTTGCATCTAGCTTAGTCCAGCAGTAAAACGATGGGACCTACTTGTTAATCTAATATCACGCTTAAATTCATGTAATCGGGACAACAGGGAAAAAGCCCATGCGAGCAGTTACTATGAAAATATGTGTAGAACAAACAGAGGGGAAATCACATCACGTCGTTGAGAAATCTGCGTTTCAGTCTCTGTTGATCTTGCTCTACTGTCTGCTGGAACAACAAATTTTCTTCAGAAAGAGAACATTCATGTCTACAAAAGCATTTCAATTACTGTTTGTAATAGCTGGTGTACCTATTATTTGCTTAAATCCGTATTTGTACAAATACATGGTGTGGTTATAGGTGCGAATATAATGTCAAGTTTAAGGCACTATCCCCATTCTTCTTCGATGTTCCGTGACCCTTTAGGATGTGAGTAATCAAGGCTCTTCACCACTTCCTATACTTGTTGCTCTTAGTAAGGTTTGATTTATCACCACCACCACTCTCAGACCCTCTTCTAGTATGAGATAGATTATTCGAAAATTTTCTATTATTCCTACTTTCAGTATGTCCTGTGAATATCAAATTCTCCAAGCCCTCTTTCCTCATTACATGTCCAAAAAATTTCAACACTCTCTTTTTTTATTCTAATTATAAACGTTCTTTTTGTGTTTTTAAAGCAATTCACCCCAAGCAAAGCGGGAGTGCCACTAGCACGCAAGGGGTTACAGAGGATTGAGAGCAAGAGTAAAGAGGCATGTTTGAAAAAAAGGTTATAGAGAAGGACGGGAAGAAGCTAAGTGTGTCAGATGTCAATTGACATTACAGTTGAATATTATAGTCATCGTGAAAGCAAGTAAGGGGAAGGGAGTTCCACAGGCGGGAAGTGTGAGAGGAGAAAAGACGGTTACATTTAACCATTTTGACGGTGAAATGGTAGGACCGGGGTGCCAGCCTGGTAGCTCGCTTAAAATCATGCAGTCTGGGAACCAGCGAAAGTATTTCGTCGGAACAGCAGCCGTGAAAATAGTTGTAGAAAAGACAGAGGGAGGTCACAGCACGTCTGTGGGATAGCGATTGTAGACTAGATGCCAGATCAGGACCTATCATCTTGCATATTCGTCTCTGGATTTTGTCGAAGATCTCAACATGTACAGCGGGGGCACTAGACCATATATGACAACAATATTCCATGCAAGGACGAATGGTTGATTTATAGATTTGGAAGAATGGCACAGAGGAGAAAAACTTTCTGGCACGACATAGAGAACCAACCTTCCTTGCGGTAGATGAAGCTATTGATTCAATGTATTTATTCCACCTAATGTCAGTGGACAGCGTGAGACCAAGCAGACGTAACGAGGCGCTCTCGAGGAGTTGAGAATCAGCCATTCTGACGGGAGGCAGGGAGGGTTCTCTGTGATGTGGATAAAGGAGAGCAATTTTGTTTTGGAGGTATTAAAGTTTACAAGCCATAAAAGTTCTCGTTACTCAACATGTTAAATTTATTGTATTCTCAGCATCCTTCTGTAGAACCACATTTCCGCTGCCTCATGTCTCTTCATCTGTAAGGAAATTGTCCAGCATTAGTTTTAGTTTTTCCTTCCGCTTGTGCTGTTAGGCGTCGCGAGGAGACACAGTCGTCTGTCAGCGGCAAGGCGTGGCCTGGAGGAGAGATATATCGTGGGCTTTTAAAGTGCCTGCCACTGAGTCGCTCCAGCGTCTTTATGGTCTGCCTCTAGCTCTCCAGCCAGAGTATCTGAGGGTGTATGCTCGTAGGGCTGGTTGGTTGAGAGGCATACGAGTGAAGTGTCCGAACCACTTGATCCTCTGTCGTTCGTTGTATGACTGATAATGCTCCTACCATATCTTTTATTGCCTCATTCCTAGCCTCCCAAAGCCTAACTCCTCGTCCTCGTCGTGGATGTTGGAAAAAAGTAATGCTTGCCAACGGGGCACTGGTGAAACTGCGACTGGCTTAGCAACCGTTGTTTCGTTACCATTAAGGGCGTGAGTAATCAAGGCTCCCCACTACTTCCTATCCTTTGTAACTCTTAGTCCCTCTTCTACCATTATTCAGTAATTTTCTATCATTCTTGTTTTCAGTATGTACTGTGAATATTAAATTCTCCAAGCCCTCTTTCCTCATTACATGTATTTAAGTATAAAGGTTCTTTTTGTCTTCTCATCACTGCTTTTCTTTATAATTTCTCTTGGGAGATCCTGCAGTTTTCTTTCTTTCTTGTAATCGTACAACACCCTCCCCAGTCGTCCAATTTTTTTAAATACTTTGTCTATCAGATTTTTTGAAAAATTCTTTCTTCTTGCAATCTGTCCAAGTTCTTTACAATTATATATACAGTCATCATCATTCAATAATTATAGATACACATACTCCTCATCTGCGTCTAATTTTATTTCTAGAGCAATGTCCTGTTAATTAGATATTAATTTCTGCCACCTTCATTTTATGACTCAATTACCGGCCAGATTTTATGTCTTTCGCCTCGTTAGGTAAATCGGATCTCCTGGCTTGGATACGGGGATCCGTTCGCGTTTCAAACACATCAATTTAATTCTTTATTTTCCTGGTCTTAAGATGTGGACTTAAACCATTTGCGTGATGAAATTGGACAACGCTTGCACAATTCACAGCGATTCACCGTTCCTACCCACTTATCTGTATATAAGCAAATATGTGGATATAGATCCCACAGTATGAAGAAAAATATGGAAAAACAAAAATCCGAATATGAAACATTATAACAGCATATTTGCATATTCGGATTTTTGTTTTTCCATATTTTTCTTTATCTGTATATATAAAGTTGAAGTCTCTGCTAGTTTGTTATCAAACTCCTTCTAGGTTTTTGGAGATAGACCCCCCCACTAACTATATATATTCTGAAATTAAATTATCCAGGGTACTTGGATAAGCATATTTCATTTTGATCAAAGGAGGTCTCTCGAGGTAGAAGTGGGGCGCCCAATGAGAATTTTTTTTCCCTTTTGATTTAAATTAATTTTAAATTTGAACAAGGAATGACTCCTAGGGTACTTGGATAAGTATATTTCATTTTGATCAAAGGAGATCCCCAGGTGGCACAACCCCCCACTGAATATTTTTTCCATTTGATTTAAATTAAATTTAAATTTGAACAAGGGAATGACTACTATACAAAATATAGAAGGAGAAAGCCGTAATGAGGCTGACCATGATTTTGATTTTAAATATGCTACCTCTCGTTAACAGAGAAGGTAATCTACTAGGGTGAAACATTTAGGAAGTGCTGTGAACATTGGCTCATCCACAGTGGATTTGCGTCCACTGTCTTACAATATTTCACCTTTCTTGACAGATCTTCTGTTGTCGTAACATGGG